AATATATATATATATATATATATATATATAAATACCTGAAAGAATCCCCATTCTTCACAACCTTTGGAAATTTGAGCCAAAGTTTGGGCTCTTTCCTCTCCATAAAGTTTTGAAAAATCAATAACCGGAATAGTAGTCATTGTTAAGCAAAAAATTAAACAAAAAAAAAGAGATTAATTAGAGAATATATAGTGAAATAACAGCAATTGTAGCAGTTTGGTGGTCTAGAAAATATTCACAAACACCCTTTTTATAGCCAATAATATACTCCCTAATAATAATAATAATAATTAAAAAAAACAATATTATATTTTAGCAGTTAAGAGTACGTTAATTAAATGGCCGGTGACTAGATATTAATTAATTGTTTTTTTACTTTAAAACAAGGTCAATGTTCTTTGTGAGGCATTGCTTCTCCCACAACAGAAGCATTGTACGTAGCTAGTGATGATATATTATAAATATATATTTTAACTTTACTATCTTCGTTTTAATTTATTTGACAAATCTTTCATAATAATTTTTTTTTTAAGAAAAAAAGGTTTATTAATTTCTATATTTAGTACTCTCTTTAACACAACATCTTACGCTAGGAATCGCTTGATGGCTGATTCACAAATGAGTTATGTAGGTATTATGTAAATTCTAAATAAGTAATACCAAGATTGCTAACTGATTAATTAAAGATAAATTGTTTATGTACAAAATTGATATAGTGTATGAATTGCATAACTTACGAGAGATTTTATATTATAATTTTATATATGAAAGAATTGATTCTTGCATTATAAATATATTTACGTAAAATTTCTACATTATTAATATTCGTATAACTTTAACTAACTAGTACCAAACAATCCCTATTACTATTTAGTTTTTTCACCGACTAAAACGGTTAATTATGTTGACTAATTTTCACAGTTAATCATGCGTTGACTATACAGCTTATCTTGCCGTCCTGAGCCTTTGACTTTTTGAAATAACTATTATTATCATTGTTACTCCTATTATTATTATTATTATTAGTAAAAACACGTCATAATTTTACATGTAAGCAATGTTATTAATAAAGTAATTTGCACTAATTTGCAGGCGTTGTTTGAGGGCAAAGGAACATTGATGACTTTTATTGTGGAAAAGAAGAATAGCAAACCCCTAATTTACTACAATATAAATAAATTGTCAATGCCAAGGAATTGCTAAAGTAAAACTCGGCTACTCTCTCCGTTTCAGATTATTTGATCCTTGCTGACCTAATAAATTTTTTAAAGAAAAATCTTAACTAGAGGTTTATCAGACTAAACTAATCTTATTAATGATGTTTTGAAATTTTAAATCTATTTTATGTAGTTATTTTAATATTAAAAGTAATATGAGGATTTTTTTTTAAAAAAAAACCTCTTTTAATTTGCTAAAATGACAATTAAAATGAAATAGCTATTTTCGCTATAAAAGCCAAGCAATGAAACGAAAAAAGTATTTTATAATAATAATATGCCTATTATAATCATACAAGTGGATTGGAAAGGGTAAAATATATGTAGCCCTTATTCCTGCTAGTACGAGGGTAAAGAGAAATATTTCAAATAAATCGTCGGAAATTTTTTTTTTAGTAGATTTGCATGAAAAATATGACAGGAAAAGGGCATGAGACAAAGCAAAAAAATACTAGTTGATAGCAATATACATAGAAAAACTTGCCTATAGATTTTCTTTTTCTTCTTTTTTTTTTTTGTAAAAAAAAAGAGAGAGAGAATTATAGTGATAATAATTCAGATTTGTGCAATTAACACTCAACCATATTTGGTACACTGTTGATTTTATTCTGATTGTACGAATATTAAAGTTAGTCATTTAATGATGGATAATTACAAAGGACAAATAGTAATTATTGATGGGTACGCACTATATATGCATTTATATGATTAAGTGTTAAATAAAATGGCGGTAATCATTAACACAAAATTCAAAAATATATTCTTGATTTATATACACTGATAAAAGTATATATTTTTGTATTTTGTGTTAACCGTTGATGGTACTTTTAGTGCCTAACAATTTATCAAAAAATTATATGGAGTAATTCACTCCTAACAAAAAAAAGGAATTAATTGTTTACTTGTTTGAGCAGGTATATATTTAATTATATACAAATTATACAGTATAATTAATTATGTACAAAAGATACTATAATTTTTTTGAATTATGGACAACTAAATAGCATAACTGTCAGGAAAAAAATATACAAAATCATCTAACAGCAAAAGAAATTAAATAACTCGTATAAATGACTGAGTTAATTAAACAATGATCATTCAAATGGAAATTTCACGTTTAAAACCTTC